TTGATTAATCTAACTATCTAAGAGATGTAAATTATGTATTTCCAAATAAGTGATAGATTTATTGATTATTTTCTAGAATAAGCCTGCAATTGTAAAGCTGTAAAGCTGAATTGTAAGCTGTATCCCGTCGCAGTCGGAATTTTCACTGAGCCATAATTCTGCTGTGGACTCATTGTAGAAAGCAGCACTGTAGGTTGTGACTGTGCTGGTTGCTTGAATTTTGTTTACTATTCTGGTGATTCTGTACCATTGGAGGGTCCTCCACAGAATCACGGTACTCCTTGTAGAGGTGATTCATCGTCTTGTTGACAGTTCCTACAAAAGCATACTGGCCCATGCCCACAAATGGAAGGATGTTGTTGATCCAAACATCCTTTTGATCCAACAGAGCTGGCAAAATAGCATCCAGTTTCTGTTTCTTCGGTTTGGGCTCAGATGACATTGTAGATGCCATTGTTACTCTTCTCCGCTCTGCAAGGAAAGGAAACTCTGGCTAGGAACAGCCCGACCAGTACAACGGACCCACTAGTACAAACTTCTTGGGGAACCCGGATGTTCCGTGTTGTTCTCTCACAAAATCGCCTCCTCATTTTTTGATCTGCTACCTCTGAGGCTGATGAAGCGGCTGTCAATACCCCTATCAACTTTGCCATGATAGAGAAGATAGCAACACCCCGAGATGTGGGATACATAATTTGGACATGCCGGTCACAGTGGTGATAGTGACTTGTTTATTTGTCGGCTGTGGGGGCAACAAATGGCTAGCAAAGTAGAGCTGCCATTTCTGACCATTTTATCTGTCACCAACAGGTCGGCCAAGCCCAAGCCCCATTATTAGCCCAGTCAAGCCCAGTCAGGCCCAGCTGACAGAGCCATGTGTACATGTGAGTGACCAGACAACCATGGAAAGGCCAAATGCATCACTCAGGTCAGAAGAACTACTAAAATTGATGGTGGAGTTTTGGATCTCTCATTTTGGATCTCTGTCTTGGGTTGTCACCTTTTCTATTAACTCGTTGGATCCTACTCACTGTCAATGATATCATCCTACTCAATTTGCCTATTAGACTAATTGGAATGGTTGGTTTGATAGCAGAAGAACGGCACAGTCCAAAATGAGGGTGAAGTTGAGAACTTGGAAATATTTGGAAGAAAAATGAAGCATCTAGTTTGACATAAGATAATGCCTGCTGCATGGCTGAAACCACTACAACCAGCACATGGCTGCGACAAGCAAAGAATGTAGACAGCTCTAGATAGTTAGCTTGGTTGTGTATGTGCCATATTGGTTGAAATCTTCTTTTCCTCTACCTGGTATTGCTTGCCATGCCACCATTGCGGTATCACTTGCGATCAACCACCGTCAGTGCAGCCACCATACAGTGCTGGTGTGCCAGTATGGTACCGGTACCGTACCTGCCAGTAGGCCCTGGTACCGTTGCTACAGTAAACAGCTCTGTTGTTTTGTGTAATACAACTTTGTACTGGTCGGGCCGTTCCTAGCTGAGTTTTCTGTTGTCTTCTTGGTGGTTCTCTTCCCTTGGTGTGTTCTCTTCTTGCTGGGTTGGATTGTCGTCAGCGTGCGGAAATGGGCTTCCCAGGAGAACTGTTATTTAAAGGCAGCTGCGTGAAACTAGACTAGTTTCACGAAGATGTGCGTGAAACTAGCCGTTTTGCTGAGTGAAACTAGCTAGTTTCGCACAGGCCTGCGTGAAACTAGCCGTTAGTTTCACGCACGTGAAACTATGTTCAGTCGTGCGTGAAACTATCAATCTATGGGTAGTAATCACTAGTAAATCTTGCATGAAACTAGCCGTTGTTCTGCGTGAAACTAACTGTTTCTTGATAGTTTCACGCAGATCTGCGTGAAACTAAGTAATAGTTTCACGCAACGTGAAACTGGGTGAAACACTGCGTGAAATTAACGGTTCTGCTTTAAACTAGCCGTTAGTTTCACCCAGACTTGTTCATTTAAGTCCCATTTCCGCACCCTGCGGGGAAAGTTACTATGGGTTAGAGAGAGCTACAGTACGGCTGTTTATGATGAGGATGGGGACGGACAGAGAGACATGATGCAGGAACGCAAGGCAAGCAATCAAGTGCGCAAGCAGGGCAACGTGGAAACGAAGGGTGCTTGGTAAAAACGCTGTCTTAGAGCATTCAACACCGAAGTCACCCATAGCACAAAACCCAAATGGTTGGCATCGAGTATCGCCGGCCGACCTGAATCGAGTGAGTCAAATGCGATTTGGGGATTTGGGTTGAGTAAGCTCCAACGCAAATCGGAACTGTTTGCGCAGCCCCAACAGCCGACCCAAACCCATTTGACTAATTGGATTCAAATTTACTTAGGGGGCAAATCTTCCACATCATCAATGACGTCACAATAACATCACAATAGGTGCGAGGTGGTTCTCTTTTGCGAGCAAGCATAGCCTTGCTGCGAGTGTGTCAAGCCAAGGAGCATTTGGGTTTTGTGCTATGGGTGACCCTGGTGTTGAATGCTCTTCTAATTAGAGGGGTAAATCAGTTTTAACGCTAACTCTCATTCCCAATTTCGTTGGTCTTTTTCGGCACTTGGATCTTGGATCTTCGTATGCGCACCCCCGAGCTTGTATGAGCAACCAAATTGAACCCCAACAACTTACTTAGTAGACTAGCTAGTAGTCTACTCCTCAAATCTTTCGCAACGACAACAACACAACAACCCACTCGACCTGCTTCGATCATGATTGCTTGCGGTGCCATCTACGCGTACAACAAGTACTGTAAGACCTCAGATGAGGCAGCAACGAAACTCCAATCTACCTGGAGGGGGCGGAGGGCACGAAAGAGACTCCTCGTGAAGGGGCAAAAAGTCAACGAAAGTGGCAAAGGCATCGGTGGTCTTTGCGGGTCGCTGGTCAAGGATGATAAAGAAGAAACCAAGTAGAGGATCGATGTATGCATATATGTTCGGCATGACGTTCAAAAATTGGGGAGTGGAGTTCAAAAGCATCTTGGATCAGTCATCTACAGTACGGCACAACAACCGTGTTGATAAGCTAAAACAACGGTTAGTACAAAACGCCATTATTCTAGCTACACTACTGGTACCGGTAGCTAGCTAGGCATACCCTTGACCAGCACTGTCGCTGATCTGTCTTTTCCGGAATCAGTTGGCTAACTTCTATGACGGTCGCTCGGGTAGCCTTCAAGAGTTCGTCTTTGTCGAGGACCCTTGCTGCTATTAAAATCTACCATCAGGTCTGGTCGGGTTGCCGGGACTTCCGCCTCCTTGTGGGCGGTTGTCAGGGACATGTGATTTCAGAAGAAGAAAGACTGAAATAAGCAAGTTTACTCACACACTTTTGAATCACTAAACGCAGGCTTTGACTCTGTGGTAATTGAGTTTTTCATCACCCCGTGCGTGGGAATCATCAGTGCTTGGGCTCCTGTGGTAGGGTAGTAATGAAGAAATGTTGGTTTGTGTGGGCAGGCTCTGTATATTTCGTTGCAGTAGTTGATTAGTTTCTCTGGTGACTCTCTGGATCGATTCAGGATTTTGAGTCGCTCCCTATTGTAATGGCTGAAATGTCGTGTCCCACAGGTTTTGACATTGCTTGGATGATGTTCCTTTGAAGATCTGGAGAGATGTCTTTTGTTCCAGTTCACGCTAGCTATTAATAGACCTCGAGAGCTGTCCGTGCAATCCATCTCTTACTTGCCAACGTTGCAGTCTCATGCCTTGTGCACCCTGTCTGCTCACCTAATCTCAAGTTTGTTTGAAGTCGCTGGCACGATACTGCATGGTTTGGGCGGGAAGCTCGGTCAACTAAACTTTGGTGCGAGCGACTGTTGATCATGCTCCAAAACCCACAAAAACAAACTACATACATGTAATGTACTGTCTGTGATTTACAATCTAGTAGTATCCACCACCGCCGCCGCCGCCGCCAAGTTGTTCGATAGAAACATAGAGGGGATACTCGAGAGGTCCTGGGTTCTTGATCTGAATGGTACTTCCAGAACTGGGTGGGTCAATGACGGCAGTCCAGGGACGAGCACTGCCGTCATCGGAATAAACTTCGGCACTCTGCTTGACGTTGTTGGGACCATCCCAGACTTGGACATTGGCATAGTAGGGGAATCCTTGAGACCAAACTTCCACAATGCAGGGACCAGAAACGGTAAAGGACTCTTGCGCGCCGTTGCCTTCAATGCGCATGGTCTGTCGTCGCGAGGTGCCCATCATGCGGCCTCCCACAATGGCACTGGCGTAAATGGGGAACTCGGAGCTACCCGTGTTGTCAATGGTCAACGAGTTGCCAACACTGCCGCCGTATCCTCCGTTGTTGGCCTTGAAATTGGCAAAACCCACTTGTTCCCACTTCCAGGCTCTTCCATCTTCACTCCACAACGTCATGGAAGCAGGCGTATTGTCGGGACCCTCCCACACTTCAACCTTGGCGTTCAGTGGACGGCCGTCCGTCTCTAATTCCACCTGCATGGAATCGCTGTAGGTGGTGTCAAAGGTCCGGCGGGATCCCCCTTCGATTTTGGAGACATCATTGCCATTGCTACCATAGTAAGTATTTCCATTGCCGCCATAGTAACTTTGGCCTCCTGGACCACGTGGTGCTGGGGGGTAATAGCCCCTGCCGTATCCCATGGGAGGACGGCCCGTTTGAATGTCGAACATGTCGGACGTGGTCATAATGTTCAGTTGGGTTGCAGACGACGACGATGTGCCGGGCAGGGGAGTCGTCGTAAAGGCGGCGCCGGACGCCAACACTGTGGCGAGAACGAAGTTGATGGCAGGGATCTTCATGGTGCTTTCAATGTAGGTACGGTATGTGAGGAAAAGTGGGGATGCTGACAACAGCAGTATTTGTGTCAGATGCAAGAAAACTGGATGGAAGCCACAGAGTGAAGGGCTGTTGAGGCTCGTCTTCAGTGTGATGTTGCCTTCTTCGAGAAAAAATGACGAAGATACCCTCGAGTTCTGGTGAGACGTCATGAGTGGCACGTACTTCAACTTTTGCAGTCCCACGTCAGCATCCTGTACCGTAGGCTTTGAGGCTCTGCCACCTAATTTCACTGTAGCCCTTCCAGAAGCGGAGCTATTGCCTTTGGAAGGAAGAAAGAATGCGCGGAAGCTCATTATTTCAAAAGATTGAGGCCATTGGTAAATGTGGCTATCGCCCGGCAACGACTGACTGGACAACATTAGAGCCAGAATAATTACATGTATGACTAGCTAGCTAGCCCCTCCCGTAAACAAACCGGACAAAACAATTATTTTATCAAGCAATGGAACTACCGCACCTTTTAGAGGTCCCAGACCGTGGAAAACCCCTTGCATGGGGATTCTGGCTTATCAACCCAGCAGCCAACTTCAGTTTTGGTATCAGCGGAATATCGGGAAACAGCAGCGGTGTCGTACAGTACCGTAGTGAAGTTGTGTTGGCATAGTTGCGATGAGTAGTGGCCTTTGGATTGTGTCTCACCGCTCTCGCTAGTCGAACCAAACCAAACCAAACCAAACCAATCTAAAGGCACACCTATCTGATTCTGGCTTGTATCCCAGCTTAGCTGAAACATCCACACTAGTCCAACCAACCCAAGGCAAACTAAATTATCTGATTCTGGTGATGGCTTGCCAACTTGCTCTCTCTGAACAAGTAGTCGGACTTCTTCCAAAAGAAAGGTGCACTTGCAATATATATGTGTTATAAGAAATTTCTATTCTACATGCAGTTCCTCGTAGTGGGACTCTATCAGGCACATTCACTTCTGGCTGCCGTCCAAAACTCTGCCAATCAAAGAACAATACTCTTCCTTGTGGTCCTTCAAGAGCTGGACATGGTCACTGTCACCAAATCGCTCCACCAAGACATTGGCTCCTTCATGAGCTTTCCGAGTCTCAACCAGTTCATCCAGTTTTTCGTATGGCAAGATAGTATCCGCTGTGGTGTAGATGAACGCCTGCACTCCAGCATATTGTGGAGAGTCTTCCCAATGAGACCAAAATTTGTCCGGGTAGGGCTTTTTCCCTCGCGCTTTCATGACAGAGTTTTGAGAGTTTTGGTAAATCGACACGAAAAAGATGGCTGTAGAAGACAGCACACGATTTGGCAAGGCTGTACGAATGGCTCGACCAAATGCAGCCGCATCCGGGAAAATTGGTGCAGAATCAATAATCTCGCCTCCAAGTTGATAGCGATCTCGAATCAACTTCCAGTTGTCCACATCCTCAGCATTATTGTTAGTATTGATCTTTTCCATCATTTGTTTTTGCATTCGGTAGAGGGGTACACATCCGCCGTTGCTAAAGGCATGGCAGATTAGTGGTACATCATCGCCACCTTGGCGCAAGTGCTTGCATGCTTCCTTTACCACCAGGTTGACCAATGCATCGGTCTTGACGAGGTTTATAAACATGATGGATTTCTTATCAAGAATGGCAGAGATGGTGGTGCATCCACATTGTTCATAGAGGTCAGCATACTTTTTCAAGTGTCGGAACTGGGCACCAAACCAGCCAAGTAGAATGACAACTGCTTTGGGTTGATCGCCGTTGGGAGGAGCCTCCACAACTAGTTTGGGCTTGGATGAATTGGGCATTGTCGGGTGTGATGGTTGGATTTTTTTGTGTTTGGTTTAGTCTGCTTTGTGAGAGAAGACGAGGAAGAGTGACTTGGACAATTCAAATTGATGCTTTGACAGTCGTTGGCAAGAGGATATCGGTAAGGGTGTTATGTTGCAAGGTTGGCTTGCAGCCTTGTAGTTTTTTTAGGGAGTGGGAGTCAGTGGGAGCTTTTTCAATCCCACATGGACTTGCACACCAAACCATAGTGCACTGGCTGCAAGCATGCCGTTAATGCGTCGAGCCGCGCTATTCTGTGCATTTTGCAATTGTCCGTGATCTTGCACTCATCATGGGATCCGTCGAACGGAACCGGAAGCTCTGGGCTGCTTCAAAGTGTGCTATCGTGCTATCGCACGTCAACAAGAAGGCGTCTGAGAAGAATGCTTCTGGAAGATCCAGGGAGCGAAGCAGTCCTGCCCAGAAAGCTTCTCATCTCATTGGGAAATCTCTGGAGTGCAGGCTGCATCTACATGTACAACAGAGCTGATACCATACCGGTACTAGGTGCGAATCGAATGATTCAATCATGTCATACCGTGCGGTACCGTACATGTTGTACATGTACAAAAACTGGATTGAGCTGGTTGAGACTCCGCCACCATCCACCGTGGCTGGGCATGAAGAATCCAACATGTTGGTGGAGAAGTTGCTTTGATGAAAGTGGTGGCCATTTTCAGTTCTTGAAATGCCCGCAAGGAAGAGTTTTTTTGTTTTTGACTGGCAACTCCCTGTTTCCGGCATCATTTTGGACCAAATTCAGAATAGAAAGCTTCATTCTGCAGGCGGATTGCACGTGACAATTCAGAAGACTCCCTGCGGCTTTATTTTGTGAGAGGGTGCGTTGGCAACTTGCTTCAGCCGTGTGCCAGACTAGTTTGTGAAATGTCCTTCCTATCACTGTCTCTGGTCCATTAGCTATGGGTTCCATTTCTGCCTGTGCCACTGGCAGCACCTGCTAAGGTGATTTGCGGGGAGGGTGAATTGTGCAGCCAGTCAGAGCTCCACAGGTTTCATCTATTCCGGATACGAAGACGAGCAGTTGAGTGCTGGGCAGTGTGCTCTGTCTTTGGGTTCTTGTTGTTTTTCTCGCCAGTTTGCAAGGTTCCCGCTGGCTGAGAAAATGGTTGTGCCATCTACGACTACTTCTCACTACAAAGTTGCAATTCTTGCTCATTTAATTCTTTGGCCTCATCAGGCTACGGTACCTATGCTTCTCGCCTTTTTCCCATCTGCGACGGTTTATTTATTTCTATAGAGTTGTACTCGTGCGACTGTGGTGTCAAATCAAACTACTGTAGAGCACAGGACCGCAGAGGAAAGGGTGTGCGACAACCACAACGCAACACAGAGAACAGATTGTTTCGTCTGGATGATATCTTTCCGTACGCATCGCACTAAAGGACCAAGAGTGGCTGGTCTCCATGCCAATCATATCCTCAGGCATGATGGTTGTAGTAGGTTAGTGAGTGAATTGTGTGAATTGTGACACCCAAGATTTGGCCATTCAGGAATGTTCCAACTCCGTTCGACAGCAAATTGTAGATTGCACCATCTCCCAATCCTTCTTCTATCACACTAGTGTTTCTTGAGCGGCACCTTGAGGACCTGACATTGGACTTCTCCATCTGCATTTTTCTGAACCACACAAAGGACGACATTGTCTCCGACTTGAATTTCTCGTTCCGATACGGATCGGTAGGCATCCACGAGAATCGAGACGGCTTCCTGTGCGGAACAATCCACTAGTGTGGGGACTGTCGTGGTTTTTTGGTGTGTGCTGCCAGTAGTAGCTTGTAGTGTTCGAAATTTGCGATCCAAAATGGGTTGCAGCAGTTGTCGTCCAGTTCCGGCACTGGCCACGGCCACAGCTTCGTACGATCCAATGGCGTCGTAGCAAAATACTTGTCCTTCCCCTTCCGGTGACAATCCGGCCAGGACACAAAAACTATAAAAAGGAAACGTGCGTCGACTGTAGAGGACTTGACTGAGCAATGTGGGATCGACACCATTGCTGGAAGTAGTTCCAAAATAGTGGGCCGTACGAAATTCGGCTTGAATGGTTCGTTTCAAAGCTTCGCAGTCTGCTGCACATCCAGCCGATCCAATAATTGTGGGAGCAAATGACAACGTTGTGGTTGTGCCTAATAACAAGTCAGTGTCGTGTTGGGCCATCCACAAACGACTGGTCACGTAATCGCGAGAGACAATGTCGTAGCCACTTTCGCCGACAAAGCGCGTGTCCGACGCAATCACTACAAAATCCTTGGCAGCCACGGCCGAGACCAACCCTCCATTGACGGTGTACGGTTCAAAGTCACGTCCAACTACTCGTGTTGATAGTAGTATTAGTATCAGCAGTGGTGAAATACGAGGGATCATCCTTTTGTTGCTTATTATTATTGACATTGTCAGCCGTGTTGATGGCAGCGTTGTTGTCTGTTGGCAGAGAGAAGAAGTGCCATGCATGTGCCATGGTCGATCTTCTTTGATTGGGAACTGTCTTTTGTGCGATCTTTTAAAATTTTGTTGGCTTAATCACGTTCGTGAGTGACGTCAGTCGACCATTGGCTGACAACAAGCCCATCGCGAAGTTTCCTTTTTGCTACTCAATACGCCCACAACAACCGTCGAACATTCCATCCAGTACAATGGCATCTAGTAGTGTTAGCAGCAGACTTGTCCTTGGCAGAGGTTGGAATGGCTTGTTTCGACAAGCGAGAGGGAACCGACGGAATTTCTCGAATCGCACAAGTATTGCCGACATTCTCCAATCCGTCCAGGATGGATCCATGAACCTCCAAGAGGCCGAACAGCGGCTCTCCAGCAACAATAACAACAACAATAGTAAAGTACTCGAATCCTTTGCCAATCTGGATCACACACGGTCGCTTCGGACGGGATTCCCCGAAGTCGTTTTTGCCGAAACCAAAACACCCCAACAAGTTGCAATGATTATGGATGACATGGCACGGCATGTCAACAGCGAGACACTACTTTCAAACAACAATAAGAACGACAATCATCCAGGGGCAAGTGCGGCAATATTGGCGACAAGGTAAGTGACATGTTGTACTATTCTGTCGATCGATTTACCAAAAAACTGATTTGCCAATATATAATGTATCCATGTATGTTTTATGTTTTAAAAAGGGTAACGCCGGAAATGAACCACGCAATATCCTCCCTCCAATTGGAGCACGGGACCCTCACATATCATGAACAGGCTCGAATTCTTTCCATGAAAGCGAATGCTCTGGAACAGTATCCACCAACAAACAACAATAATAGTTCCTTTGATGGACACGTCGTGGTCGCCACGGCCGGTACCACCGACTTGCCCGTGGCCGAAGAAGCCGCGGTTGTCTTGGAGGCCGCCGGAGTGACCGTAGAGCGTATTTACGATGTCGGTGTGGCCGGACTCCATCGTGTTGTACGGGCACTGCCGCGACTGCAGGATGACACCGTGGGGGCCGTCATTGTGTGTGCGGGCATGGATGGGGCATTGCCCAGTGTTGTGGGCGGACTGGTGCATGTCCCCGTATTTGCCTGTCCCACCAGTATCGGGTACGGTGTGTCGTTGGGAGGCGTGTCGGCCATGTTGACCATGTTGAACTCGTGTGCTCCGGGTGTGTCCGTCTTGAATGTGGACAATGGATTTGGGGCCGCCGCATGTGCCTTCAAAGTAGTGGCGCGGCGGAAGAAATAAATGATAGGTGAAAAGTTGGCGTCGTCCGTGTAGCTACTTGCTTGCTAGAACAATAATCATCTGGCTAGGCTACCGATAGAAGGGTAGAAAGTCGGGATGCGGAGAGATAGGCTTCAGAACTCGACTATTAATACTGTGGATGTCCAAGTTTAGGGAGCGTATTCGATGCAGGAAGCCAAGTTGGCCTAACGAGGGAGTTACAAATGCCCGGTGGGTGCATTCTAGCTGGGCTGGTTGGCCGAGGTCCAACGAGAGGTTGTGTCCTTCCAAATCATCATCCTCTCCGCCTTGTGTTCCAATCGTTCGGCTCAAGTCCCACGAGCGACTGCCAAATACCCTCGTCCCCGTTTTCTTGCCTCGCACCACCGAAAGCTAGCTAGCGAGTACTTTGGATACAAGCTATTCTGTGCTAGCAGCGCCCGCTCTCACGAGACCAGCCATGATAGAGCAAATGGGATCTTACACAGAAGAAGCAACTTCTCCGTCACACTCGGCTTGACTGTTCTCTTGTTTTAAGACCACGCTGTGCCAGTGTTCTTTCAATTCGCAAAGAGGGATTGTTGACCCACGCTCCGACAGTCCAACTTTAAAAGAATCTTTGTTTGATACACTGTGCCCGCAGAATTTACCCCAGCGTTTCCACAGGTAACGACCGAACCTGTACAGGGCGAGGAGCAACAGCATCAAATAGCATTCTGCTAGGAATTCCGAGGACGTGACCGTGGCTGAATCGATGCACGCAGAGAGAGCTATCACAGCACCGGTGGATGCAATCCACAGAGGCAGACGCCACCGCGATCTGACTTCAGAGTAGGTGGGCATCGCCGCCACTTCCTCGATGTTCTCCAAATCTACGAGGGTCATGCTTTGCAGAGCGATGGCCTTTTGTTGCCGTCTTCTCTGTTGCCAGATACAGGAAAACACAATGCCCTCGCCGAGATGGTACAAAGCCCATACCATGGGAGGCAGCAACATGGTCTCCGTACGGCGAGGGCTGTCGTCTTGCGTGAGGCGAACGAGCCCTATTACTCCACTTGCAAAGACCCCGAAAGCAAAAGCACAAAATGAAACTCTCAAAAAAAGCCGTCCAAGCTCGAATGTCCTCAAGCTGATCTCGTGGTCGAGCTCTCCTGAATGGCCTCGCAACAAACTGACGAAAAAATCCTTCATGTTAAGGTACCGGTAGACTGCATCCAATCGCCTTAAAATGCCTCGCACCAAGAGGCAGCAGGGGTAGACCAAGAGGCAGTAGGGGACGAACCAAATATACTTGTGGATGTTGCACCAGAACCACTTCTTGGTGATATCGCGGTCCTGACTGAGTGCTTCTGATGTCATTTCTTTCATCTTCAGAGTCTGGACATGATATTCACCAAGACTAGAAAAGTAGATTCCGTGGGCACCTCGATACATCTTGGCTGCTTTTGCATAACATCCGGCTTTCATCAGCACTTTTGCAATTCCCTCGTATGTTGAAGCAACTTCGGGGTGATCGCGTCCTAGCAGCTTCTCTTGAATAGCTCGGGATCGTTCCCGGTGCTCCAAGGCTCTTCCAAGTTCATTGAACATTAGGAATGTTTGAGCTAACGCGCCATGGGACTCTGCTGTGGTAAGGTGTACGTTTCCGAGGACCGCTCGTCGAATGGTGAGACCCTTGCTTAGCATGGCGAGCGATCGTGTTCGATACCCCGCGAAGGCCAACACCAGTCCAAGAGAATTAAAGCCTGCTGCAGTTTCCTTGTGATTGCTTCCACGCAGCTCTTCCAGAATCAAAACCGCCTCCCTGCACATATGAATTGCTTCGGAGTATTTCCCTTGTTCTTTCAAGGCATGTCCTTTGGATAAGTATGCCGCAGCCGTATCAGGGTCAAGCCTCCCCAAACAATCTATCCGAATGGAAAGGCACCTTTGATAACACGCCAATGCCATCCCGTATCTTCCCATGATCATATGCAGGTATCCGAGGGAATTGAGGGACTTGGCAACCAGGGGATGGCTGGGACCAAGGATCTGCTCTCTGATCTTCAATGCCTTCACTTGCAACTCTAGGGAGCGGTTGTTGTTATCAGGGGTTGGGTCGTTTCTGCATTTTGCGGCGTTGACAGATCCCATGAGCTCATAGATCACTGCGATCTCCAAGTTTCTTCTCCCAGCTTGCGACTCTCTTGCCTCCAGTGAGGCTTTCAGATCATCAAGAGCACCCTCATAGTCGCCTAATCGATAAAGTAGTGTGGCTCTGCGCAACAAAGACACCGAGGAATTCCCTTCTGTAGTCTTATCATCGTCGAGGATTTTGACTTCTGTGCGCTTTATCGTTTCTTTGATCCATTCTCGAAGATGGCGGCTTATCCGCACGTTCGTTCCATAGAACCCTAGTTCGGATTGAACGAGTTTCAAGATCCTGATCTTGTCTCTCTTGCAGGACGCACCGGCTGCTTCGATGTTGATGTGTTGCAGAGCCGCAAAGAATCTCTCTGCGCCCTGGCCATCTTCTCCCACGATTTCGGTGATCATTTTGCCTGCTTCCTTTGGGGGCATGACGATTGTGACGGGGACGGAATTGATGATGGCCGTGAGGAGCTCAAAGATGCACCACAACCGTTGCAAATAGTATGGGTTTTCCCAAGGCGTCATCATGACCAGAACATGGCCAATCTTCAGCACCCTCGTCCGGAATTCAGCTTCAAAATTGACAGCTGTCAGCTTGAAGATACCGGATCCACCAGAAGAGACCACGCGGTGCTGGTTGATACAGAGACAGCAGATCCAAATGTAGGTCCTCTTGCGATCAAGGTTATTCTTGTTGCAATAAGCTACCAAGGTATCCACAACATCAGCAACTGAATACCTGTATTTTTAAAAGATCAGTCAAGTGAGTACGGCTAGGCTGTTCAATTGGTGCGCCTGTCTGCTGTGTTCTTACTTCCAGGCCCAGCTAAGCATGTATGTCGAGGGGCCCACGTGATCGACACCTTTCAAGCAGTTCACATAAGAGGCTCCAAGCTTTCCATCCTCAGGGCTTTCAACATCTTTTCCTGTTGGCCGCACCACGTTACGATCAATGTCATAGAAACTGGATCCTTCCGTCAGCCCAGCGTCGATAACCCGCTGGAAGAACACAGTGTCGAGGTGATGGACGCTTACGCCAAGAGGACGGGGACTATCAGCGAAACCGCAGGCCTTTGCTATGGAAGAGGCGGCCGCTTCCATGATGGGATCCTTTGGCACAGGTACCGGTACCGTAGAAGTATTGTAAATAAAAGCTTCTTATTCCAACCGGGGCATGCAAGCATTGGAAGTACCGGTTTGCAGGATTGAAAAATGTTTCGACCTGCAAAACTCTTAACAAGATTGAAGATTCAGTCCTGTTTTCAGCTGTCCTTTAAGAGATAGTGTGTGTACTGTACTACATGTAGTACCGGTACCGGTACAGATCTTATTAGTTCGGGAGGGCGGCCAAAAAGTGTGCCGGTGGCACAAGTACAGTACTCTAAACCGGGCCAAAAAAGTGTTCCCAACTACTCAGTATTTCCAAATCCTCCTTTGCATCTTGCATTAGCTTTTGCATTCTAATAGATCTGCTCAGTCCTCGTTTTCTAGCCTTACAAGAAACCTCGCAAGCTAGTAGGATCCCCGGTACCAGTACTCTTTACCGCGCTTCTAGCTATGCATAGTTAGCAGCTGCTGATCTCACCAGGACCCAGCAATGGGCTCTTACCGTACACCATCAACTTCTTCGTCACTCACATGCACTGATCACGTCGAGGCATGTGGTGTGCTGTGGTACCGGTACTGGTGCCAGCCGTACAAGGTGGTATCATTTCCCTGCACGTCGGATCCATCCATGGATACTTTCTTGTGGGGTTGAATTACTCACTAGCGTGACTCCCTCCGTGACTGACGTCAGCTTTTGAACAGAGCGTGTCTGTGGCGTGGCATCACTGTTGCCATGGTACGAACGTCCATTGCCAATGCCACATCTCCTTTCCCTTCATTTCCCTCCGGCATTGCATTCTATTCTTGTGCTTTGTTGCCGCCGTCTTCGAGAAAAGATACCGAACTTGCTGTGCTTCTCAGCCTCAACTACAATTCATTCCAAAAGTTTTGTCCAAAAAGAATTCTATTCCATTCTACATTCTACCCTTTGAATTTTGCCAACCATGGTCTCTTTCATCGGCACAAGGCTCTCTATCTGCATCGCGGCGGTTCTGGTCTCGGCCAGTGCAGCATTTACTCCCGTTGCCAACCAACCTGCCCAATCCTTGACTCAGCTGGCGGCCAGTGCTCAAGAAAATAATGAAGATCGAAGAAATTTCTTGACCCAAGTTGCAGGTGCTGCAGCCATGGCATTCCTGCCGTCCACACCTTCGTATGCCGGTCTGTTGGATGATTTTGGATCTGATCCCAGCAAGATTGTGACAAAAGAAAAAGAGGAAGAAAAAGTGTTGGTCACACAAAAGAAGGGGGCTGTTGCCATTGATCCCACCCTGCGTGCTTGTAAGTGGTGGAAAAGCTGGAGATCCTGCATTTTTGACTAGATGAAACAATTCGCCGTCTCACTCCTTTTCTTTCTTTATTGTCCTCAAAGCTTACTACTATCCCACTGCTAAGAAACGCTACCTTCCCCGTATCACAAAAGTTACATCCAACATTGGAGACGTTCCTCAATATATTGCTAATGGTCAATGGGAAGAAGTGGCAGTATTTGCCAACACGGCCGACAATGCAGTTCTCCCCTTGCAGCTGTACGTGAGTAGTTTGGACGGACAAGGATTGGGAATGGCTAACTCGTATGCCAAGACAATGAAAAAGGATGCCGAAATTTTTGAAAAGCAATTCAAAGTCCTTCAAAAGGCCATGAAAACCAAGGATCAGGACATGGCCTTGGCCGCTGTGCAGGAAATGGGTGTCGCAGTGGCAGAATACCGACAAACGGGACGATTGAGCGACGATGATGGCAACATTCCGTCAGTTGATGAAATCAAACGCAGCACCATGCGACGAACCACACAGGCACAATTCACACTTGACCGATAATAAGTAGGTGAAAATGAAAATGTTTCGCTTGTGAGGAATAGGAGCGTAGTCGAATGGTTGCGGGCAGAGCGCTAGGATAACCCAGCGCGTGCTGTGGTGATCGAAAAGGGCATCAAAAAAGCTTGGACGAATAGTCTGGCAATGTTGCAAGCAAAAACTACACGCGAACAATGAAAACATGAAGCTATAGATCCGAATATGTACAGGTCCAGCTTGCGGCAACGGGACTACTTCCTTGCGCTGGTTTGACCATCATGACCTAAAAGTCAGCAGCTCGCTTTCGTTTCCTGCCTTGGGGAAGTCATTCATCCTTCCTACAAGTCTGTCAGTTGACACACGCCCTCGTTGTCACAACATCCAGTGCAGCATCCTGCTGCACAAGAAACTTTGGGGTTAATCCCTCCACAGTCCGCATTCAGAAAAGACAAACTGGAACTGGAAACACCACGGAGTTGACACACTTCCATTGGAATATCACCTTCAATACCATTTTCATGGACCCATAGCAAGATGAGGTTGGAGAGCAGCCCTATTTCAGATGGCACAGTACCAGAAAATTCATTTCGGGCAGCTTTAAAGCCCACCAGGGTTGTCATTTTACCAATTTTAGTGCTGATGGATCCACCAAAATGAGACCCGGCAATGTCAAAATATATCAAGCTTGACATGTTCCACAGTTCATCTGGGAGAGGAGTGTTGCCCATTTCATTGCCACTGAAAAGGAACTCCTTCAGGTTGTTCAAATCACCAAGCTCCGAGGGTAAAGGTCCAGCATGATTATTCCCACCCATTTTCAGCTCCTCCAACAGGCTTAGCTTGCCTAGTTCTGAAGGGAGGGTCCCTGGTAGCTGCCTATTGTCATACAACCACATTGATTTGACATCTTCCAGTAGTCCTATTTCACTTGGCAACACCCCTGAAATTTCTGTGTTGAATAAAAACAGCCACCCCAGAGTGGACAATTGGCCGATCTCGGTTGGGATGGTCCCAGTATTCAGCGTGTATGCTACATTGAGCTGAAGCAAGTTGGGCTGACTAAAGAATCCACCAGGGATCTGACCAGTGATGAAGGTCTCAGTGGCTTCAAAGACTGTTAGGCCGGGAAATTCACCATACACCTCGGGAATAGTACCTGTGAGGGGATTAAAGCTAAGTGTCAGCCACATCATCCCCTCCAGGTGCCTTAACTCCTCTGGCATTGTTCCAGTCAAGTTCTGTCCCACTGCAAAAGCACACAGACGCACATGAAGAGTTGCTGTTAGCAAACAACACAAATACACAGCTCCATGGTACGAACAACACTATTGCCTTACTGATATCAATCGCAATCACAGCTCCATCTGCGGCAGGATAGCACCAAATTTCAGCCCATTCGCACTCATGCCTTTCTGACAGCCAGCGCACTTCAGTTTCATTTCGTGTTTGATAGACCACATGGTTGGTCGTCTGATTTCTAGTGAACTCACTAAAAACACAGGTATGGTCTTCGCCTTGCCTTCGTGGGTTGCATGAAACCCAAGGACCTTCTTGGGAGGTTTTGAAATAGAAGAGAGCCAACACATATCGTTGGATCAAGTTCTCACTGAATTCATCGAGGATCATTGCATCCTCGTACAAAATCCAATCCATTGCCTGCTGATACGGCGAATCGTCCTCATTTACAAATTCACCAATGACTCTAGCAAGCTCCGCTCTTACCCCTAGTTCTCGGGACGTAGTTGGTGCCATCGTAGCAGGTGCCATTGTTTCTGATTCTAGTTGCTGTTGCTTCTTGAGGGAGACTATCACTACAATAACCGCCACAATGACTGCAATGAGAGCCAGGGCGCCAGTAAACAAAAGACCCTTTCGAGTGTTTGCAGCAACTTGTTCTCTCGCTTTTCTCGCTTCCACATCAATAGGGGTCGCACTGTCAGCTGCAAAAATGTGGCTTTGATCATCCACAGGTTGGGCTTCTGCGATTTTCTCGGTAAAGTCGGCTTCATTGGAAAGAGGCGGGACATCAGATGAGGTTTCCCGGAATTCTCTTCCATGGGTGTCATGGGATCCTTGTTGGCCGTTGCATTCAAATCCCTCTGACATTGTGCCAAGGTTGCGACTTGGTGTCATTCCTGGTGCACCATTGTAACCTCCTGGTCTGGAATGATCTTGTACTTGGGTCATCCCATCAACTGTATTGTTGTCTTCTGCCTCTGCAGGTTCTGATGAGGCGGCAGCTGCCCTCTCGTGGACTAACTCCATTACCAGGGCATCTTCTCCTCCACCAGCATCAAGATTGTCAAGATTGGTCTTCTTTATGGATTCATTACTTTCCAGTTGATGGCTAGTCATTCCCTCCGTAGTTGACTGTGCCCCGATGACTCCATGTTTTGCTGCATTTTCCTGTGGATATTCATCACTGGGCTTCGTTGGAGTTTTACCTGCCTCTGCCAGTTCTGATGAGGCGGCAGCTGCCCTCGCCTGTACTACGTTCATCAGAACCGGATCATTGCCATTGCCATCGCCAAGATCATCATCCTTCATTGTGGCAAGACTGTACCGGTGGGCTAACCTTACAATAACAAATACTCAGTAACAGTTTGTTTTGGTCTCCCCGTTGATCATCTTACAGCTGTACCCGGATAGCTGCAAGGTGACTTGTGAAGGCAAGTGCCAGTTCACAACGAGAAGCCAGCAGAGTGAATCAAAAATAAATCTCAGCCTCATAATTTAGACCCACAGTTGACGGAAGAGCAGTCGAAGAGCACCCAACCCTCGTTCGGGCCACCACTCCGCCCTCACAACAAACGACAAGAAAAGGCAACGGCAAGACGCAACAATCACAACCATGGACAAGAACAACAAAGCTGCTCAACAACGGGATTCCAGCGGCAACTCAGATCATAGCTGGAGACCAACCTCAGTGAAGCTAACTGTCGCCACCTCCTTGGAAGATGACACACCCATTCAAGTAAATTTGATCGAAACAATGGAACACAAAGACAAGGGAGATGGATACAAACATAATGTGAAAAACTCTCCTTCCTTGAGTGCCTACTGGCTTCCCAGTAAATTCAATCATGCGAGCAGCGAATTCATCAAGAAACACCTCATGCCTCACTTTGGTGTTTCCTGCCTCCATGCCGGATTCAAGATCAAGAATAAAGGGTGGGAAAAGAAGAAAGGATGCCTCACGATTGTCTGCCCAAGACACAGATATTACAGTCCAAAAGTAAGTCATTGCTTCGAGTTTATTAAACGATGGATACATCCACAATATGGATCAAACCATATCACATATTACTTTGAGCAAAACTCTCTCACCCCATTGTCGTCTCCACCACAGCATTGTGAGGAGAGCAAGAGACGATCCACCGTATATCCTATCAGAGGAGTGGACAAGGTTTGTCCCTTTCATTTTCAAGTCTTTTTCAATTCCAAACAATCTCGCTGGTACATTCCACGACGGCAAGGAGGAAAGATCACCCACGTGGGTCATTTCATTTTGGGTCCGGACCAAGTGTTACAAACCAAGGAGGAGCTTTCCAACCTACTCGACTACATGGGAGCCTACAATGCCATGTTACCCAATTACTGGGAGTGTACCAAGAACATCCAGACGGGAGAGCAACTGAAAATCTTGAGCGATGCCTTGTCCCAAGCACACAAAGATATCATGGCTGCCTCCGGCGATGTAGCCAGCACCGGTATGGTGAGCCTACCAACAGAGAGTGACGAACGAACAGCCCAAAAGAGAAAGACCCCATACAAGTCTGGAGAAGAAGCAAGCGCCCAAGTACTAGCTAGTAAATTCCAAAGGAAGTAGCTACAAAAGCTACCAGGAGGGAGCGGGAAAATAAATGACAGCAAAACCCCTGTGTGGCTGACAAGGCAGCAAGTCGAACATTCCAACGAAAGACAGTTGGCGCCTCCTCTCCTGGCTAGCTAGACTAGCTAGAACTATTCAAAAGAGGATTTGTGATCATCTACATTGTATCTGATCTGGCTGCTACTAATTGCTGCCGGAGGTCTGGTACCGGTGGCAATGCCTGACCGGCTCAAGCTGGGTGCGTTCAACTTCCAAATTTTGGGCTCTTCGAGAATGTTCCGAATAGATTTGGCGAACGAGCTGCATGCAGGAATCAGGGCGCCAATGGTACCACACTTCAGTACATGTACCGGTACCGTCACTGGAGATGGGAGATGGAACACAACAGCAAGCAACAAAGCCAACACAATCCAGAACAACCCAACAACTGGCTAGCAGCATCAGTATCTCTCCCACCGCCATGAAAGATCTCTCCCTCAGATCCCACCACGACGAATCCGAGCGCGAAGGACCGGGTGAACATGTGGATCTTGCCAAGCAACACAAGAAACTGCTCAACTACTACGATGATGTCTCTGTCTACCCAATCCAGGAAGCCCGCTTTAGTCAAACTTACTTGGCCCGCCACAAGAAAAGTGGAGAATATCGTTCTGTCATGATTCTACCACGCAAAAAAATTCCTCCCCATGTCATTAAGAAACAAATTGACGGCTACCAACAATTGCTGCATCCCAACATTCTCCACTTGTACGAGACGCTGGAAGATCGCAAAAATACCTATTTCATCATGGATCGATTGGATCATCCCAACATTTACGAGGTCATTCCCAAAATCTACCCCGATTCCAGCAAATTTGACCAAGTCCAAGTGGCCTTGTTGATTCGCATCATTTTGCGCGCCCTGCAATACTGCCATGCACGAGGATTCGCCCACACGGCACTGTCCTATCACAACATTTTGGTCGATCCCAAACGCGGATCCTTGCGGGGTCTGTACATTGCCGGATTTGGACATGCCGTCATGAATAGAGAAATGGATGCCATTTACAAACACCAGTCGCAATTGCATCGTCGCATTGAAGAAGATGATGACGACAACAACAATGACGACAGTAGTAGTAATAGTGACGATGGTGAAGACAGCGACAACAATAACAACAAGACGGTGATTGAAATGGCCCCCAACGATCTCTTTGCCGCTCCCGAAACACGCGCGGGGGACTTGTCCGTATTTGAAGAACCCAGCGATATTTGGGCCGTCGGGATCATTACCTTTCAATTATTGACACGACATCATCCCTTTGAAGACCCGCACGTGAGACCCCGCAAATTTCGAGATTTGGAATGGGTCGACAATTTCTTTGCCACGCATCCCTATTTGGAACGAGTGTCACCATCCGCACGAGACTTTGTCAAGCAATTAATGACCTACAAAGATACGGATCGAATTACGGCAACGCAAGCTTTGGAACATGAATGGTTGCGTGAGGTGGATCAAGTCAAAGGTACCGAGCGAAAAGAGGCTCTTCAGGATTGTTTGGTAAGGCCCTCATTGTCTGGGTCCTTCGTGTATATTATATTTGTCCTGTGCTCGCTTACACACAACGTTCCCTTTCGTTCTCCACCTCAACAATCAATCAATCCAAAACGACAATCAATCAATCAATCAATCAATCAATCAACATAGTCCAACTTGCAAAACTTTGACGCCAAGAACAAATTGGAGCAGGCAGCACGACTTTACATTGCCAGCAATTTACTCTATGGCACCAGCGCCAAACGGAGCCTCGATAGCGTCTTTCATCATTTGGACAAAGTTCTAGTCGATGGTGTCATATCCCGTGACGAACTCAAAGTAGCCCTGGAAAAAGCTCACGGAAAGGGCAAGAGTGCCAAGGTGCAACAGCTACTTACCAATACGTTTGACCGCGTCGATGTCAACAAGGTAAGTCAAGCCAAGCCAAGCAATGGAATGGAATGGAATGGCTATCACGCCACAAACAAATCCATGTTTGCGACTGCTACTAATGGTTTGTGTGTGTGCGTGCAAGGACGGGGTCATTGAGTATGCCGAGTTCATGGCTGCGGCAGCCGACGATTCCCTCTTGCTGACGCGGGAGAACCTACGAGAAACATTTGACAACTTTGATGTCAGCAAGACGGGGACGATCACTGTGGACGATCTCAAGGCACTGTGCAACCGAAACGAAAAGATCATGTCCAAGCGAGATGCGAGGAAGCTCATGCGCCAAGTGGATCTGGACGGAGATGGAGAAATCACGTTTGCAGAGTTTTGCGCACTCATGCAAGGTTAAGTAGTGTCGGTCCTTCTTTTTCTCAAACTGGATGTAGCTTGCTGTGACCATTCTAACTTTAGTCATCAGAGGCAGCGAATGCCATGATGGATGGGTGCATTGGATATTCAGAGTCCGCTGAAAGAATCAACAAAATTTAATTTTTGGATGGCAATAAAGAGAACTGGTTACGGTTGCTGAACTTTGCTTGTTCAATCCATTCAGTTGCTGAAATCCGGTTGTTCAATCCATTCATAGAGCCCGACTTGCCGGGGCAAACCTCAATACCATTCCAAATGCAAGTTCTAAGTTGGGAGGCCTTGGTTGAACAATAACCCCTACTTTTTCGTACCGTGCTTAGCTAACTCAGAGAGAACTATCCTGCTGTACTAGTCCTGCTGCAATGCCAAGATTCGATTGAATCATTCAGGAGAGAAGAAAGTGGGCTTCATCCCTATGTGTTTCCTCCTTGACAGGGCGGTGGCCACAGCCGTTCCTTGAAGGTCCCCTCTTGTGCGGGAGTCCTGCGCATGCCGGCAAGACCACGATCGAGCCGAAAGCGTGACGGTAGACTATGTAGGCAGTAGACTCCACCATGACACCATGACCCTGATACCGTCATGGGAGGAAATGTTGAAATGCTACCGGTATCGGTACCGTTCTAAAGAACGGCTCCCAGCAGCGCAACGAGAGCTGTCACAAATCTAAAAGTGCATCATCCTTACGAACAGAATCTGATGTTCAGGGAATGGAGAAGACCAACGAAGACGAGCTTCTACCAGAGTGTTGTTGAAGGCCTTTTCCTCAATACCGGTACCATTCTTTTTCTTCAATTGATGGCTGCTTGCTTCTTGCTTGCTCTTGACCTTCCATTTGTACCAGCATAGCTACCGGTATCAGAAATCAGAATCCAAGCAACAGTGCTGGTTAGCTCAAGCCAGTGTTCGTGTTCGCTGACCTAGACGTCCAGCGAAAGCCAGTAGGAAAATCTTGCGCGTCTTTCTAACTCTCACCTGCCCTTGTCGTCCCAAGGCAGGCCCAGCCAGGCCAAGCAAACTGGGATTCAAGAGCTTCCAACAACTATCTAGCTACCGGTAGTACCAAAGGAGCTCGCCTCAACTCGGAAGTGAGAGAGAGAGTTTAAAGCTTTGACAGTCCTTCAACTTGACGGTCATCTGGCTATAGGCGAGGCCGTCAATAACCATCATCAATGAATTAAACAACATAGTACCATTGACTCGTTTGCTCTTGTACCAAGTGGAAAGACCAAGTCGGACTGGCTAGCTAGCTAGTGGGCTAGTGTGCTAGTGTGTGCCTAGCGAGTGTGTGCCTAAGTTTTTTTGCTTGAACCCTCCCTTCCTGAATTCCTGATTCTAGCTTTGATGAGGAAGGCACAGACATCGCCAGCACCTAGTGCCGGTCGACAAAAAGAAGCTGTATGGCAATGTGGGGGAATTAGTGAAGAGGACCAGCGAAATAGGGTTTCGGGTTGCGGTTGTTGAAGAGCTACACCTATCAGTCAAAAATATATATATCTCCTCCACTGCTCGGTGTTTCACTGAGAGTGAAGACAGAGAGAATAATTACCACAATTGAGACTGTGTTCCTCCTAATCTAGAGGCTGCCTACTACCTAGGCCCAGCTGGACCAAGATCCTGAGACCATCTAGGTGTTGTGGGTACCGTAGCGGTAGCAATTGACATTCAAGGCTAACTAGCAGCGCTTGAGAGGATCTTTGGTGCCCTGGCTGTATCAGCAGAGCCCGACAGGTTGTAACGTTTGTACATTTTGTGCCATGGGTCTAGCTAGACCTAGAATATTACCGGCGATTCGATCCACGACAAAGCAGACAGTACTACCGGACCGGTATGGCCTGTTGGGCTGCCGAGAATCTCCGCTTTGGCTGCTTCTTTGTGGAGTTGATATCGCCGCCATCTCTCAGACCCAGCAGGCAGCCTGGCCATGCCTAGGGCACTTGCTGTTGTAGTTGACAATAGCACTTTTTGTCGGATGCTATTTTTTACGTTGCCGACACACCCCCATCGTTAATGCCGACTAGCCCATACATTCACACATGCATTCAATCTTTGAGTTCCAGCAGGAAGATAAAGATTAGATGAACTCCTTCCTTCATGTTCTCTTGGATTGGTGCATGGCGCCATGATATCGATGGACGATTTTTTAAAAAGGATACCGAAGATTTGTGTGACTCGGGGTGCGGGATCGCCCGGTGCCGGCGTGTGATGGAGGCACTGGGATGACAGATGATGCTTTTGATGTTAAAAAAATTAATTGTGCGAGTTCGGGAGGACGAACAGCTAAGGGCTGGTCCTAACCGGCACGTAAGGTTACGCGTTACGCGCACCTCTAATGACTAAGAGGGGCAAAACAGTTTGCGTAATCATGTGGTTCTTATCACAATTCCAAGTTACGTGTGCTGCAAATCTCATTCGTGCAAAAGTTCAGCAGGGCGATCCCCTCCAAAAGAATCGCGCATCCACAAAAGCCATCACACAGAAATAATGGGAGTTGTACCACGTAGCCATGATGGCAGCTGCGGCATCGCGAGTCTTGTGGAGGCGATAGCCTGTTCTAGATTGTCTATGAAAGTCGGAACAGTAGTTGGAATGCGGCAATGAAGATAGCTAGACATGATAAAATAGATTAGAATGGCAGGAGTGCATAAATCGCTAGATATCGCTAGTAGGAACGTTCGAGGCAAGTTTTCCCCATGTTTCCCACACACAATTCGAAGAAGAAGAAATCGAAACAGCAGCAGCAGGAATGGAAGAAGATGACAACGAATCTAACTCCTCCTCTTCTGTGGATGTGGCAAAGACCATTGCAAAGGTCCGAAAGAGGAGAATGCTTGCAGAGATGAGGAGGGAAAGGCAGGAGGAGCGCAAAAGGCAGGAGGAAGCAGAGGCAGAAGAGTTGGCAGAGGAGTTGGAGATCGAGAAAGAGCTTCAGAAGCAGAGAGAAGAAGAAATGGCAATTGCAGCCGAACATGATCGCATCAGAGAAGCAAATATGAAAGCCACCACTTTAGGTCAATTCGACTTTGATGAAGACTTGGAAGAGACACCTCCTCCTGCCCTCCTCCCACGGAAAAGGGGGCTTATGCCGGGAACTTATGGTGTTCCCTACCACCTCTCTAACACCCCTCCCCCCTGGGCATCTGATCCATTTATGGGATTCCCACCCGTTCCTTCGCAAGGACAAAAGGCAAGGCCCGCCAGTGCTCCTACTGTACCAGTGGCAGCTGCAGCCGTACTACCGAATGATGGAAGCCAGAACAACAAGAAGAAGAAGCAGGCTAAAAAGCCAAAGAAGAATCCGGAGGAAGAAGAAAAGAAACAGCAGCTGATTGAAGCAATGCTCGATCACTTCTCAGCAGAAAAAAAGGAATTAATCACTTGCCAAGACGAAGTTGATACCAGGAAAGAATCTGATAATGACACCCACTCAGTGGCCAAATGGTATACACTCTTCAAAGGCACAGCGAACGAGCAGCTTCTTGATTTGGCTACATTCAAAAGCACTCAAATTCGGCGACTGGCAAAGGACTGTGGTGTAAAACGTGCTGGAACGATGACACTTTTCGATGCAAGGAAGCACATCGCGTTATCCATCAACATGGGAACCCTGTACAACGACAAGTTGATTGCCAATCCACATTCAAGCAGGGAGGAAAAGAAGCTGCAAACTTGGTGGCGAGTGGCCAATGCAGTCTTTCACAAGAAATTCGTGAGCAGATTCTGCGAGCTTAACGACAACATGAAGCGAGAACATTATGAAGCTGCACACGGCGGAAACCCAATCAAAAGTTTCTGGTTGGAGGTGTCTGAGTTTGTTAATGATACCCAAAACAATCCTGTCTTGAGCATTGTTCTTTACAGTGACCCTGACGTTTACAAAGATGGCGATTTGGATGAGCGGCTTTATGAGTGGGTGACTGAGGAAGAGCCAAACCTGAACGATTTTTCCCTGCAAACCTACGCTTCATGCCAGCAGTTGATGAGCGATGCAATGAAAGCCAGAGAGGAGTGCTTGAAATAAATGAGACTCTCTGGACACCACAGCAATGACTTGTGGACGTACTGTACCAATCCAAAGTTTACGAAACTTCGTGCATTCGAACAAGTAGCAGCCCTGTTCCTGCCAAGGTCGTATACTATTGTCATGTACTCTCAAACCACAATCCATCCATTGATGGCAAGTTCGCGACTTTCCTGTCAGCTAAGTTGAAGAGCGACTCTGAAGTTGACTTGACGATGAGCGATGACGAAGGAACAGGAGCAGGTGGCAGCAAAGCAAAGAACATCGCAGCCTTAGTTTCTTCCATTAAGACGACAACCTCGGCAATTCAAACCATGCACACAAGAAATGATGACAGCTCGCATTGGAATGAATACACAGCTATGGCAGAAAGATTTCTTGGAATGGTCGGCAAAACATCTATGGCCCCGTTGCTTCGCAACATGGCCATTCGCTTGAGGAAGCTGGAAGCGATCCTTGGCATTCCTGCTGACAGATCGGTAACTTGTGGTGTGGTCCCCGGTGATGTTGTCACCAATCCTGGAACCGATAGCACCAGTGACATGACTTCTAACGCGGCGAAGTGAGAACAACGGTAGACAAATTACAGTAGAAGAAGACGAGTAACAGTGAAGAAGAGTGACAGTGAAGACGAGTGACAGTGACAGTGACAATGACGACAGAGAAGACAAAGAGAAGGAGGACATGAAAGTGTAGCACGGTTGTAGTCCACAAATAATACTAAAGAAACCTATTTGTTATTGATTAAACCTTCGCGAACCTTCGTCTCTTGGAAGCCCGTTCGTTGCCAGGTCGACAGAGGCCAAGCCTTTCTACTCTCTTCGCCATGTACTCTCGCAAATGGGAGTGCCCATCAACTGAACCAGTGAATACATTTTGAAGAGGGACCGGATCTCCTTCATTGTTGTGGGGAATGCTGGGCATGTAACTTGGCAATCCAGTATCTGGGACATCCAAGGCAGATTGCTTTTGCGACAAACGTTCCTCAATACAGTAGTTGTGTAGGCGACCGATTGCCTGGATCATAACAGCAGTGTGCTTCAAGGAACAGCACACAGGCCGCTGCAAGATCCCCCACTTCTGTTGCATCATTCCGAATGCCATCTCAACTCTAATTCTGCACTGACTGGCAAAGAAATTGAAGTTGTCGTATGTTCTGTTAAACTTGTCCACACCCTGGTAGATTGGAACCATGTGTTCTGTTGGCATGTACGCAGCATCCCCAATGCAGCAGATACCAGAAGGAAGGCCTTCAATCAGTTCAAAAAGACTGCACTGCTTGATAGTGTTTCGGTCATCAGAAACTCCTGGTGCGGCAAAGGCAATGAAAACAAAGCGACATTGGTGGTCAACGGCAGCTTGAACATTGACACCGTAGCACTGGTAATGGCCTGAGAAGAAGGATCGAATGTTCATGGTTTCTTTTTTCGAAGGCACTCTAATTCTCATCAAGTAGCCATCACAGACACATGCACAGTTGTTGATTGCTCCTTCGGTACTAATGCTTGCGAATCCAGCGATGGCCCTCCTAACAAGGTTCCTTGTTTTGGGAAACTTCAGCTTTAGGGCGGGGCACTTCACGATGGCTCCAATAGTCTTCCACACCACTCTGTAAAAGGAGGACTTCGAAATTCCAGCGATGTCTATGATGTCTAAGTATGAACCACCAGCAAGCCACCGAATGGCACAGTAAAGGCAAATCTCTGGGATAATGGCCCCTCCTCTTTTCTCTGCTTGGCTTTCCATGATCAATAAGTCATCGCGTATCATTGCGAGTAGCTTGTCGAACGATTTCTTCCTCATTCGTAGTCTTCGAGTGAATGTTCCACGCTTTTCATGTCTCTCGCAATAATCAAGCCTCTGTGCATAGATTGGCGGGTTCCTGCTCTCACCAGGAAGGAAGAAGTAGAGTCCGGAGGTAAAGATGAGCAGCTGCAATAGCCATTGGAAGAAGAGAAGGTTAGTGTCCGTCTCACTATCGACTATCATCATGGTTGCATTGGTTGATTGCTGTACAAAGGAAGAATAGAATAAGATAAACGATGCTTGGAAGGTACGGCTAGTTAGAGTTAGAGTCTAAAATTTCGAGTTTGTGACACGACCCAACTGCCGAGGTGCGGCTGGCGGCAAGAATTTTGATTGGCTAACGCAGAAACCACAACATTTTGGAAAAACGTAACGCAAGAGTACTTTTGGACTCTAGAATCGATCCGCGTAATTTTTTTTTTGAGTTTTGGGGCATCTGAAAATGTCAAAGACATTTCTGAGGTGATATTTCGCGTAACGTAACCGCGTAATGCCTGGTTAGGACCAACCCTAAAGGCACAGCAGCTGGCACAGCTAAGGAACCCCCAAGATCAAACTACGACCTTTACGGCGAAACTAAACAGTTAATTAAGTACGTTGATTTTCCAGAATTTCTTCAACATCCTGTTAAACCATTGGTATTCTTTTCACGTTGTTGTCCTGGCTTGTGAGCCGTGATGTGTAGGGCCTCGAATGTTGTGGCTGTGACAAATGGCGCACGCGAGCCGTGCCTTCCCGGAACCAGAACAAACAGCCAGCATGGCAACCTTGGCAGCAAGACCCTTCGTTTTCGGAGACACTGGTTGATGGTTTGAGGTTTTTTGGTTGGGAGTCAGCCACCAGTCGTAAGTCGCAAAACCGTAGGCAGTTGACGATTAGACCTTCTTGGTTCAGCTTAGAGCTCCGCCTGTGATTTCATAATACCTGATCATCTTCTTATCTTGTGCAACAGCAGCAACAGCCGCCGCCATCTCAGTGTCTTTTCCATTCGAATGTCCATTCGCACAACTTCATATCCCCAATGAATATTAACGATTGGAACGACGACTTTAACACACTTAGCACCTCTGGAGTTACTATGAATTTCGATGATGGTAACGAGGAGCCCCGCTTGGCCATCAATTTGGAAGCTGGCAGTGGGAAACTGGCAGCTCGGGACGACCTGGGTATCAATGCCAATGACGTCCTGTGTGGCAGGGGAAAGACCTCCTTCAATCATGGTGAGTATTAGAGGCTGGATAATCGAAAGAGGAAGGTAGATAATGAAGGGGTATACAACGGTATCCTCACCCCCACTTTGTTGCTTGTCTTGTGTCATTTGTGCTACCCCTGTATTGCATATGCAGTGGGCAACCGACGATTCCGTCACATCATCTCGGAATCTATCGACGACTATAACAACGCTGGCTCTAGAAAAGCCAAGAGTGCGGTGGTCAAGAAGGTCCATGACCACATTCGAGCCACCGGAGGCCGCTTTCTCAAGATGGATTCCTCCGAACGAGAGTGGGTGGAACTGTCTCAGCAACGGAGCTTGGAGAAGGTATCCCATGCCATTCGAGATGCTACCACTACCAACGAAAACATGAAGAAGAAGAAGCAAAAAGTTCACAGCACGATTGCTCAAGTGGCAGCTCATGTCTCTTCCAGATTTCCGGGTGTGCAGTTGGAGGGAAACTTTTTGGATGATTCAGGGGATGATGCCACCCAAGGAGATCGATTAGCATTTACATCCATTGATGATACTACTACTCTTCCCATGCCACCTCTACCTGGACAAGTTACATCTGCTGCTGCATCTGCTCCAGAAGCCTCTTCCATAGCTTCTTCCATTGTCCCACCAGCCGCTGCACCAGCAGCACCCGCAGCCGCCAAGTTTCCATCACAGTCAGCAACGCCAGAACCAGAGACCAGTAGTATACAACCATTGTTTCCAGAGCATCCTCCGCTTTCCCCTCACCACCACCACCACCACCACCAAGGTCATCAAAGCCCAGATCATGTGCATCATGAAGATGACTTCCTCTCGTACATCAATGAAGTTCTAGGTCCCGTTTCACCACAAGACATGGATTCAGATCCTCTCAAAAGGCTGGCACGGCGGAAACGATAACAGGGAGGGACAAAAACCAACAAACGGGCTACAAACAACAACACATCACGCAAGCAACGAAACAATACACGGGTTCTTAGTAGTATTAGGTTCTGGGCTGGTGTCTAGTAGTTTGTTATAGGCTAGCTAGCTAGCGAGTACTGGTAGGTTCCAGCAGGCTCCCATTAGAGCTAGAGCTGGAGGAGCTGAGTTTCAGGACAACATTGTCGTAGCGACAGTGAGGGGTCCATGGGATCCAGCATGCAGGCATTGAATTTGATGAATAATTCATGAACATGGCGTTCAAGCAGCCACACAATGCAGCATTGCTTGTAAGCCTTACCTTGAGTTGATAAGCAGTAGGCTGCAGCACTGTTGAGTTAGTTTTAGAAAGCTCTCCGAATTCCTGCGCCATTGCTGCATTGCCATAAAAGCAGCGCTACCACCTGGTGCCTGGTGGTCAGCCCTTGGAGCACAAGGTAGTTGCCGGTATGGCTAGCTAGCTAGTAGATCTAGAGAGGGCTTTCCGCTATCAAAGAGTTTGATTATCAAACACAGTTACATGCATCCAACAGCCCGTTGTAGAGAAACCTACAAGGCGTGTGGAGAAACACAGGAGTTAGTTCTTTCAGCTGTTGTATTTGCTTTGCATGCCGTTTGTACTACAGTGTAAAAGCTGCTCTTCAACTGAAAACAACTTTTATGTCATCAATAGTATTGACATTGTTCTTTCATTGCCCTTTGTGGGTCTTTCTGTTCATAGAAACTCTGAAAATAAGCTTAAATTCTCTCGGAACACTGCTTGGACATTCATCTGGCATCATTACTCGGTTGCCATCCGTTCACTGTACACGCTTCTGTAGTGGGGCTTATATCGTTGTTAGAATGTCTATTCTGCGACGCTCAAGATCGAAGCGGAAGTTGAAGAATTTCCTTGGCATTCTATCCTTCAATATGACTGTACCATAATTCTATAGTGAGAGACCCTTTGGTTTCCTAACAAATAGTTCTCTTCCTAATATGTCCTCAGAACAATCGATCTAAGGACCAGGAACGTGTCTTTCTAACAGAGTGCAGGCGAGGAATTATTCCGTTGACTCAGAGAATTACTTTCTTTGGTATCTTGGAGGAGATTGAGGCATATAGGTGGCGAATTCAGAGATTTAAAACGGTTCGTGGCGATCCACGCGACGTCTGCAGCCACAAGACAGGTCACAATTTGAAGCAAATCGTACTTTTGAAGGTTTCGATCTAGTATGAATCCTCTCCTCATTTTGCTCCTGCCTGATCGTGATATCCACGCGACGTTCAGGCTATCAGAACAGAAATGAATGTTGATAGCAGCTCTCTTGGTCTTGTCCATAGCACTGCCTGGTCTGCATGCCTACATGTCACGGGGTACCGCCCTCCGAAATATTCAACAGTGTGGTCCCCCGGTCAGCCAAGATATTCATGATGTGACTACTCTTGCTCTTCGAGGCTTCAAATTTTCCACTGAAGGCTATTAATATTTCATGGATGTACCGTTCTTACAATGGAAACAATGCTGGTTTTGGGTCGCTCAATGACCGTTGGAAGAAGAAAGACTCTGGAGGTGCGGACACGGGTCGGCTGAGGTTGTCGATGGCTGGTGCCGAGTTGCCCATTTCATTCTCTACTGCCTGCCCAGAGCACTGGCAACGCCCAAGGCGGGCACACTAGAGACGAAAGTGCAGAGTCTAGACTAGTTACTAGGTATTGGTAGAGGAATGCCTCCAGCAAGGCATTCTATAGCGCAGCAGGAGCCCAGTCCGTGCGCTCCAACATACCAGTTAGCAGACTGCCTGGACTGAACCAAGTCAGTCAAGGATTCGGCTGCTGCACTGTACGTTTCAGGTGCCCTGCTTCAGACTACCGGTACGGGGAACTGAATAAAGCCAGTCAAGCATTGGGCCACTGTGCTGGGCTTTGGGACTTTAGGCATGGTTCGGCTTCTATCGGTGTGCAGCATTCATATCTTCACAACTTCTTCAGTATCATTGGTCTCACCTCCAAGGTTCATACTAGCTGAGTGCCACCTCAGCACTACAACCCAGCCCAGCTTGAATTATTCACTATTCACAGGCCGGAGTGTGCCTCTGCAACTGAGTCGTCCATCGCGTTTCATCAGCCAAAGACATACTTAGTTCAGGAAAACATTCCAAAAGAGCTAAGCCCCTATGGCCAGTGGTTACAACACAACTTGTCAATCGATCGAAAGCTACTTGTAAGTTGCACCGAGAGGCTTTTTTTAAAAGAGTTGGGTTCCCACCGTTTCGTTTGCAATGCTACGCTTGTCAAAAAGAAGCTTCAACACAAGCGTCATTGGATCTTTGGTTGCCCAGCTAGATACACTGACATTTCGTCGCAGTACCACTTCACCTCAAATGATTGCAGTAAGCGAGTGGTACAGATGGTAGAACGTACGGTACGCACTCGCAGCCACTGGATTCAACGAGCGAGTCGTTTGACCAAGAGACACAAACGGCAACTGATCACTTGCTCTGGTGGTGTTCCTTTTGATTTCACTGTTGTTTGTTTGCTCATAGAACGCGTACCTTCAAGGGTGTGCCCAGAGGTTGGCGGTGTGAAACTGCCTTTTTCGTTTTCTTCTCAAGTAATAACAATGCCCAGCTGTTCCCTTTCAAGCTCAGAATCTTTACCTGATCACCTCTTTGAAAGCTTTAAAAGATGTTGAAAGAAGGTACCAGTCTGTGCTACAAAGATACCAGCCAACCTTGCTGTGCAGTCTTTCGACCTTCACCTAGACCGCTGAGTTTCCAATTCCTTCCAAAGGTGATCACTTTCACACCAAACGTAGATTGTAGTGGGGTACAAAAGTGGTTGGAGCAGCATAGGGGGGTTATCACCCGTTGAGAGCAAAATCGTTGGACGAATGCAAGCAGTGAAGTTTCGGCGTCCTGAGAATGATGCAACAATGTAAATCTGAACAGAACGAAGCTTTGCATTTCCCTGGTTTGTTGTCGTATTGCTTGATACGATGGTGATGATCCATGGATATGTTGGTGCGCCTCGTTGTTCTCCCGTTGTTTTTGCCAGCAAATATTGGTGAACAAGCGATGCGCTCTGAATAAAGGGAGCCTTTGGATTTCCTGGTTTGTTGTCGTGTGTATTGCGACATGACCTGTGTTTTTGTTGCTTTGTGCATTTACCGTCCTGTTTTCGAGGCTGCTGCTGTTTCCAATGGCGTGGCTGTTACCTCATCCTGCTGTTTTTCCCCTCCGGGTTCTTGTGCCCACGGAGAATTTATCTTGGATGATTCATTTGTGGGTCCCCACTGCAGGAGATTTCCTTCAGGGTGGAATCCCTGGTTTGTTGTCGTGTGTATTGCAACATGACCTGTGTTTTTGTTGCTTTGTGCATGAACCGTCCCGTTTTCGAGGTTGGTGCTGCTTCCAAGGGCGTGGATGTTTCTTCGTCCCGTCTTTTTCCCTCATGCTTGAGGATTCATCCGCCGTCGTAGCGTTCATCCTGGATGATTTTGGGGGGCGGGCGAATTCCTCCAGGGTGCATCGCCATGGGGTGATGGTGTATATCGACGGGAGCTGCTGTGATCCGCACGAGCATGTATATATGACAAGGAAGGATGGATTCGATTCGCTCGTTTAGTTTAGCCCTTGCTCTTTTTCTTCAAAATGTCCCAAGCTGCTGTTTGTGAAACTCCATAATGCCGTCAATGGTGGCTTTGGGTGCCTCGATTTGTGGCCAATGTCCAATATCGTTGTCCAAAAAGACCACTTTGGCTCCTGGAATTTGTTCTTGCACGGCAGTGGCCAAGTGTCGTCCCGACACCGGATCGGCCGGTCCATTGAGGAACAACAAATGCCGATGTTTCGCATACGACTGGAGGGCCGTCACCCATCGATCGTGAAAGATTTGACGCTCCGTAATGTATTTTATATTGTGTGCCGCGACCGCATGTCCTCCCCGACACAGTGCCAGGGCGTGCAATTCTCGGAGTTCCTCGTGTGTGGGTTGCGTATGAGGACCAAAGACTTTGGAAACGGACTTGCTAAACACACGCAAATTCTGTACCAACATGGCCCCCACGTGGTTAATGCCTGGAATCAGCATGAGTTTTTGAACCACGGTGGGTTGACACTCGTTGGGAAGAATCCCGCCATTGAGCATGACAATCGATTCAATGGTCGCCGAGAAATTGCGTCCCCGTGCAATCATTTCTTGCACCAATGTATCTCCCAAGTCATGCGATAAAATGTGGAGCGAAAGATCATTGTCATTGTTGGTTACATTTTGCTCCAACAATCCTTCCAACAAGTCCACTTGTTGTCCAATGGTCCGATACACTTTTTGCGAAAATCCAAATCCCGCAAAATCCCAGCACAGCACTTCAAATTTGGCAGTCAGGGCATTGTAAATCTTGTGGAAATCGTACGACGCCGTAGGGTAGCCATGCAGAATCAACAAATGGGGCTTTTTATTAGTTGTTGCAAGGCCAAAGCCCGGTGTGGCAATGGAAAACAGTTCCACCCCGTCCACCACCGTCAAGGTGCCCTTGTCTTTCCAAGCCAACAGACGAGGGAGACTCGAGAGCATCGGATCATCTTCCAGGCTCATTTTGCTGCAAGTGTAAAGATATGTGATTGTAAAAGTATACCTTCGCTGTTGTAGTCAACCGGTCAAGCAAGGGTGGCATGCGGAGATTGTGGGGAATGGCGACGTTCCGCGCTGCGGATCCACTGCCTTTGAAATCAGGTAGATGCGGTAAACTACTCTAGCTAGACTGGGTTATTCACCACAGCTGTCACCACTACCAAGCTACCAGCAAGGTCCGGAAACCCCAATGATGTTTTGAAATTTTTCAAACAGTTTTAGTTTCTCATTTTTAGTTTTAGTTTCTCATTTTTAGTTTCTCAATTTGAGAAACTAACAGTTTTTGTTTCTCATTTGATGAAATAGTTTCTCATTTCTGGCAGAAATCACAACACATGTACTAGCAGTTTCATATATAGTTTCTCATTTCAAAAGATAGTTTCTCATTTCAACCAAATGAGAAACTAACTTTCTCATTTCAGAACTTAGTTTCTCAAATGAGAAACTACTTTCTCATTTAAGAAACTGTCAAAAAAGGATTGCAGTCTGGTTCCTGACCTTGCAGGTACCGGTACCAAGTATTGGTACCGTACCGTATGCGATCTGGAGATAAATCTTTATGTGTCGAGAATTGAAGGATCAGCCAACAGTCCTTCTCTCTAACTAAACAACTAACTGTCACAATGACCGTACCGGTACGTATTGCCATAAATTTGGTCACCAGAGTCTTGGACATTCGAAGTTAATGCCAGGTCTTGGACAGAAGTGCCAGCACCACAGCCCACAGCGCGCCTCAGCCCAACCTCCGCTTGTTCACACCTCTCATCAAAGAGCCATCATTCATTTGTTTTGACCAAGCACATTAGTCTAGTAGAGGCAACATCCAAGCCAACAGCTGCAACCACCGCTCATCTATCTATATACTCTAGAACGACAAACAACATGGTCAGAACACTGCGTCGTCCACGGCAGGAAAAGCAGCAACAACCAAGCGCACCACTTTGGTCCGAGAATGCTGCCAGACTGACTCGCATTTTCGGGTCCATGGTAGTGACTGTCCTGACGTGTACAGGCTTGTCCTTTTCCCATCGGAGTCTCCAAAGTAGTCTGGAAACAATTGAAAGTGCTCTTCCGGTACAGAAAGAACAAACACCACAAGCAGAACAGACGCAAGAGCCGGCAGCGATCGGGTACAACCGTACCAAGTACCACTACACTCCTCCCTCACAGTCATTTGGGGGCCCTCATTCTTCCTGTGGCGTCACTGACAGCAACAACAACAATCCACCCACCTACGAGTCATTCTTTGCCCTGGAAAAAGATGATCGATCCCGTGACAACGAGGACAAGATTATCTGGAAAAAGTTCTTTGCGTCCATGGGCAAACGGGGCAACTACATCGAAATGGGGGCGTTTAATGGCGCGCAAGAATCCAACAGTCGCTTCTTTGATGTTTGCTTGGGATGGAAGGGACTCCTCGTTGAAGCCAATCCCATGGTGTTCCCTGAGGTGCCGGTAAATCGACCGCAAGCCCATTCCATGAGTTTTGCGCCGTCGTGTCCTACTCCCGACCAGACATTGGAATTCCATGCTACCATTTGGACCAATGCCGGATTGGAGGGGAAAGCCAAAGCATACGACGGAACCGAAACAGTCAGTGTTCCCTGTGGTCCACTGCAACCCGTGTTGGAAGACGTATTTGCGGGAGAGGCCATTGATTTCTTTTCCTTGGATGTGGAAGGAGCCGAACGTTGGTTTTGGAAACCATTGATTTTAACAAGGTGAAAATTCATGTCATGCTGATTGAAGTGGAAAACTCCTTTTGTAAAAGTGATGACTGTGAGCAGCGCAGTCGTGTTCGAGAGATCATGAAAAAGGCAGGATACCTACGGTACTCGGGAATGGTCGCATATTCCGATATCTTTGTACATCCCAACTCACCATACCAGCTTGCATGAGGGGGGAAAAACTCCTCGGTATGATTGAGTCTGCTGTTGCACAGTGCTGGGCAGCAAAAGCTACGGCAGCCCCTACCAAGATTTCAAAAGAGCGTGGGATCGAACGATCTGGGCAAAGATGGCATCACCAACTTGTTGCGACACCAGCAACCCCAAGGTTAGCCGCCAGCAACAGCAAAGTTTGCCGTCAAGAAACATAGCTCACAGGCTCTACTTCTTAGCTAGCTAGCGACATGCTCAAATAGAGCAAATCCCTAACCATTTATAGTTAACATTGGCAAACATCTACTGTGCATGTACTGTACTAGTGAGCAAACATTACGAATGCAGCAAGTTTTACCAAAAGCCCCCTCGACGACACTGAAATTGGTACTACCGTACAGCAGCACTAGCTAGTGTTTTCCAAGTCTGGAAGCGTCCGAAAGAGAGTTTTGGTATCCAGCAGATTTTTGAAATTTCCAATTGGTACCGGTAGGCCACTGTGATGTTTGACACCACAAAACGCAAACCCACTGTTGTTTCCACTCTCGCACTACCGTGGCACAGACATCTTGAGTAATACAATCCGGTGACGAACCAAATACTTGACCACTGCACATTACTGTGCAAGCGCCACGCTGCGGCATGACGTGCTCCTCTAGTAGACAGCTACCGTACAACCGGATTGTTTGCTTCGTCTAGCAAGGCTCTTCTCCCTTTGGCCTCATCACTGGTATCACGCTGCAGCACCCACATCAGGCGGTAGGACGTCATCGTGTGAGTTACTACAGTACCATACGTGGCGAGTGGTACGGCCGCAGTTGGAAGCGATTAACGACCCAGTCATATTGAATCCTCGCGAAATTGGAAGCTGAGTTGACGTGGCTACCCACTTTCTGTCAAAATATTAGTTCCCAGCGTAATTTGGAAGTATCATTATGACTCGGACTTAACACAAGGCAGCCCCTGACCCCCGCAGCCCGCAGACGCAGCAGGCCACACGGCCACACGTACCCCAGTAAAGCCCATTCAGTTGGCTCGGGTACCGTACCGGTGGGCCTGCTGGAGCGGTTGGCTTTTGCCCGAACTTTAGAAGCCCAAACTGTCCTTCATAACCTCTGCAAAAGCTCACTTTTCGAAGAGGTACAAAACCAAAAAGCATACATCTCCAAACGTCCCCTCTCGAGTATAACCAAACATGACGGTCAAGAAACAGTTTTCAGCCTTCGAGGATTCCAATGGAAATCTCGTGGCTTCTGGTCCTTCTTTCATTCCCGGCCAAGATATTTTGACCAAAGAGGAGGAGGAGGAAATGAAGAAACGACGTAAGAAAGAGAAAAGGGAACGCAAGAAAGAGAAACGGCGCCTGAAAAAAGAGAAGAAGCTGAGAAAGAAGAATGGCGAGCTGGAAAACCTGGCAGACTTTGATCCCCATCAAGCCAAACTGCAAGAGGCCCTGGAGAGACAAAAGAAACCTTGCTTGGGTTTGCAACGCCACAGCCTTGGTACTATGGTTCAGACCTCTGTTGGTCATATTCAAAGGGAGCTGGAAGATGTGGAAACCCGACGAGCGCGGAGGCGACGAACAAACTGCCGATGCAGCAAAACGGAGAAAGAAGAAGTCGAAAAGGCCGACGATGCTTGGGGTTTCTTTGTCGACGAATCATTGCAGCCACAGCCGGATAAGAGCAATAACGCTGTCGTGCGACTCCATTCGAGCAACCCGAGTTTGAAGACCGATGATGGTTTCACCGAAGTACAGGCAAGCCGACTGCACCACAGCACTCCAACGCTCAGTGAAAGCGTTCCAGATGAATCATGTATGCGTGCGGAGAGCTTCGAAAGTGTGGAGTGGGGCATATCATTTGCTGCCATTGACATTGATGACGACTGCAGCCACTCCAGTTGTAGTAGCTCTGACGACGATGACTCTAGCTGCAGCCTTGATTGGTCTGAGCTGGACCTCTTCGTCACTTCCTTGCCGAGGAAAGAGAGTGCATCTAACCCCACGCTCTCGTGCACCGCTTCTTTCGCGAACGTCAGCAAGACCTTAGGCAACTCTTCCTGTCCCAGCATATGTCCAAGTGCCCGAGACACCTGTGCCAAGAGCGCCAGGGAGAAACGTGGAGACCAGCAACGTTCGGAGCAGCGGAAAAGTGATTGCTTGATTCGTGTCCGGAACAATGATAATGAGGCTATCCCTCATTTGTCCAATAGCAACCTTGGAGCAACGGCTTCTAACGAAGACTGGCTTCCACCTTCGTACGGACGATTTGATCGGATTCAGGCGAGGCGTTCTCGCAGCATGAGCCAAAGTCTAAGCCAGAGTATGTTGGGTCGTCGCAGTGTCAGTCCCGGAGGTCCGGCTGATCCATTAAAACCCAAACGGAAAAGCATGAGAAGTAACGAACGCAAGGACCGTCATCTCAGAAGAAGCCAAAGCAACATGTCATTGGCAGTAGACAAGAAGAATCATGGTGAAAACAAGGAACGCAGAAAGCAAGCCCATAGAGGTCGTTCCGCGAGCCCCGAGCTAAAACCCCAGAAGAAGGAAGACAGCAGCCCATCTCCTGAACCAAGATTCTGTCGGAAAAGTGTTGGTCCCAATGGTCCTGTTGCTGGTAGAGGCACTGATCCATCAAAACCCAAACGGACAAGCAAGAGAAGCACAGAACACAAGGACCTTGAACTCAGACGGAGTCGAAGCCACTCGGCATTGACAGTAGACGAGAAAAGGCATGGCGAATGCAAGGAACCAAGAAGGAAAGCCCGAAGAAATCGTTCCCTGAACCCACAATCAGACGCCGAACAGCAGGTTGCTGAAAGCTACCTTGACAAAACGGGCAAGGCGGAGCGCAAGCGACACCGGGGTCGTTCAAACACGCAGAGACTAGGAAGTGGAAACGCCGGTAATGTGAAGGCATCATCCATCTCTTCTATACTGGACGTTCTGGTTGACGGTCGGCCTTTGATTCGCAGAGACGATGAGTCAGATGCAGCCGTTGACACGCAAGGCCAGAACAAGACCCTGTCTAAGCACTGCAAGAGAGTGATTAGGAAAAGCACGAGTATGGGAAGCCAACCAGAAGGAGCATGTGATTCTACCATACTGGTACCGGTACGAACGAAGCCAGTCCTGGGGCTTGCGAAGTGTTTTTCTTCTCGTTTTGTTTTTGACCTTGGAAAGGGGCTCGAAAATGCCCGACACTCCGATACGACTGAATCGTTCAAGCCCAATACAACGTCCAAGAATACCTCTGAGGATCCCGTTTGCAGCCATGAACGCACGACAAAAACTGTGGAAGCAACGAAGAAGCGGATGCAAGACCTGCAGAAAACCTATAAGGAAGCAACGAACGACTTGATGCGGGCCATTGAGCCCACAGCGGCTTGAACTGTCGCCATGTGTAGAGCAATAAAGATACTTTAGAATGAGAAACAACTTTGACGAGTTCCTTTGTTAGAACCTTGTGCTGCGCTTGTGTCAGAAACAGAACTGCAAGAGCTGCAGTCAGGACCGTTCGTTCGACCCATAGCTGACGAAGATACTGAAACCGAAAGCCAGTGTCGAAGCCTAGACAATAGCATCCCGGACCTAGAGCTAGAAAGTAGGAGGCTGATGTGCTGATGTTGGTTAACTTGCCTCCGGTTTTGACAAGGTTGGATAACATGGGATGCGGAAGTAATCAACCCGGCAACGCCCTCGTAGAGTCTAGTACATTTTCTACGTGTGAGGCTTTTTGGCGGGTGGAAACGGCCACAATCCCCGTGTTGTTTAACGCGATAGGCTGATTCGGATTTTTGAATTTTTCATACAGGATTGAATCGCCGGTAACGGCCTGATGTCAGAATCCGACCGGATTTTCCTACTGATGTCTCTATAGTAATTGTTACATGCGTCACTCATTTTCGAAAATCCGTTGAATCGTGAGGCCGTTACTCAGAAATCCAGTTACCGGGATAATCCACTGTACCAATACAGTACAATCCCTATTCACGGATTCTGGAGATTTGTATAAGGGATGTCTCATCGGACGTTCTGTGGATTCTGACTGGATTTTGACTGGATTTCAGCGACCATGTGTGTTAGATTACCATTCTGCTGGTTCGGGTTGAAGGGTACCAAGTTCCCATTTGCGTCTCGAACCCAAACCTCTTGTGGTGGATTGGTTGCTGTGCCTGCACCTGTGGAGCAGGTTGTGGAATGTATTGTTGCATCTGTGGTGCCGGCTGAAGTGCTTGCTGAAACTGGGGATACACAAATTGTTGTGGTTGTGGCATCATCATATTCTGCATCATGGCTGCTTGCTGTTGCATCGCTACCATTTGACTCCACCCCGATGGAATAGGAATCGAGAACTGAGGCTGATGCTGCATTTGCATGGGAACTGATGGTTGATACATTCGTTGATCCATGACTTGATTCGCCGCCATCATGGGAGCTACCACCATTGGCTGGTTGAATGCTTGATTTGCTGTAACTGGAGCCATCGCCACTGGAGCCGCCGCAACTGGAGCGGCAAAAACAGGAGCTGCCGCAACAGGAGCCGCCGCAACGGAAGCCATCGCCAATGATTGATGAGATCCTGCCACGGAAACAACAGCACCACCGGACACCGCAGGAGCAGATGCAACACTTGCCGTCGAAGCCGCAGCTTGAGCCTGGACCAACTCGAGCAATTGCTTCTTCGTCATCTTCTTCAACACCTTGTCCTCTGGAATGACGGATGGATCTTCGGTCAACAAGGAAGCGTCTTCTTCATCCTCCGAATCTTGAGTCAAGATCTCCTCGGGAACTGACTTGGCGGACGCAGTCTTCTTGGGCTTGCTCGACTTCTTCCAAACAGCGTCTTTTTCTTTTTGGGCTTGGCGCTTGGAGGCACGCTTGGCGTAGGGCTTACCGCCACCGTCATCAGATTCTTCGTCTGAAGTTCGTCTTGGAGGACGTGGATTTCCGTCTTCATTATCAGATTCCACGGCCAAGTCCTTATCAGAGCACATCAACGCCTTGAGAGCAGTTGATTGACCTTCATCTACGAGCCGAGCATATGGGATCTGACTCTGTTCGCACTTGTGACGGGCGAATTTCAATCGAGCCGCCATCGGAACCCGAGCTTATTGATGCATCTTGGTGATTCCATAGGCATGAAGACCATGATTCGTGAACTTCTCAAGATTTGTGACTCCAATGATCGTGCTGAGTTGCTTGGCCATCTTGGATACGGTGTTGTGGCCAAGATTGTAATTGGATGTACCACCCGACGGACAGAACCAAATGTCCCGATCCTTGTACTTGTTCTCGTAATATTTCTTGTATTCCTTCTTCTGCGTATTGGAGGAAGTCTTCGCGAAGAACTTCTTGGCTTCCGGGTGACACTTCGACAGGTAAAAGTCGAAACACTTGTAAGCACACAGTGGATCACGAGGATTCTCGACGATTTCCAACCAACGTTCTTTGTCCGAAAGAGCATTGGAATTGTAAAATGTCAGTCGATTCGTCTTGTCTTCTGGTAATCGGATTGCCATATGCAGACATCCAGCCAGGTCCCCCATCTCCCGAGTGTACATCCCGGAATAAGTATCCCGCATCATGAGACTCGACATTTCCTTACCACCCCGAAGAAGAAAAGATCGACCAAGGTGGAACACACAGACAAATTGGAGATCTTTTGGATTCGTCCAAGGTTGGAGTCTTCCGTCTTTGACAGCTTCGCGGATTTTCTTGTACGCTTCCCAATCAATCTCCGAATGATGACTGCGAATTCCAAAAGTTGGATCCGTCTTGCGGATTTCCGCCCAATACTTGATCATGAATCCGTGGAAATCTCCTTTGGCGTTGAAATCCTCCTTGAAGGTATACTGAAATTTGTTGTGCGTCATGGTTCTCCACTTGGTGAATACATTATTAATGTATTGTGTGAAGACGATGGGGGAGAGAGGCTTGCCTTTGTTTGTACCGGACAAGCACAACCATTTCATTCCGCACAAGATGGCACAATAGTTGAGGATTTTATGTTTGTTGCGATCTTTTTCTCCGCATACCACGTTGAAGAAGCATAGTTGGTTGAGTGGACGTGGTCGTAATCGACGGGAACAATCTCAAGAAGACTGCTCAAGACGGATCCTCCATGCTCGCGGATTGTCTCGAAGAATCACTTTTGAAGGCTCTCACATTTCTTCTCATACTTTCTGCCGCGTCTTCCTTGGTCCTTGCACTCTTCTAGAAGCTTTTGTTCTTTCTCTGTCAAGTCCAAGGTGGTAAAATCTCGACCAACACCAAGAGCACTGGCAATTTCAGCAGCATTTTTGGGTGGATTTTCTTGTGTTGGTGTTGGCTCTTCTTCAGCCTCTGTTGTGGCTGGATTTTGAGATGGATTTTGGGGAGACAAGGAGACTCTGGCTGGAGCTGGTGCCGGCGTACCAAAGTCAATGTTGGATTCAGAGCCAAGTGCCAGAAGATTTGCCACAACAAAACTGGTTCCTTGAGTCATTACTGGCCGTTCTTCCTCCTTTTTGTCGTCGGCGGCTTCTTCTTCTTCCTCATCCTCTTCCTCGCTGCTACTACTGCTACTGGTGTCTACAGGAGGAAGGGTAAACTCGCCTTCGTGGTTCTCAAGGAGTGGGCTGTGGTGGAGGAGTGTTCGGGTGTTCTCCTCTTCTTCTGATGACGACGAAGACATGATGACCAGCTAGTACTAGGGAATTCCAGTACTCTCTAACAACAGTAGGGCTATTTACTCGGGCTTTTGTCAAGTAGATTACAGACAAAGACCTCCCGCCTCATTGACGGCCTTGATCTTGATCTGTGGTCTTTGATCTTGATCTGGTGTCTCGGCTGTCGGATTTTTGCCCTTGGGCTTCGCCCTCTTGCAAAAATCCTCCAGCCTCGACTGGATCCACGATCTCAGCCCTTGATCTTCGATCTCAGCCTAAAATCCGCTGGCGCGCGCTCTCGCGACGAATCGTGTCGGCTGCGCCTCCAAGAATTCTTGCGATCGCGCGCGCCATTGGATTTTCAATTTGCCGGGACGTTTTTCTACAAGAGCTCATGCATTGGCTTAATTGCTGATGTGCTTCCTCTCGAGTGAAAGGAGAGCCCCTGAAACGCATGCGGTTGTATTATACGTATAACATTTTTACTATGTATTCTACAGATCATACGTATTACACATATAACATTTTTAATATGTATTAGACAAGTCATACGTACAACACAGATAACACAAGTGAAACAATATTATACGTATTACATGTATTATGTGTTGTACGTGTTTTACGTATAATACATAGTGACGAATTTTTGCCAAGTTTTTTTGCCAGGTGTTTTGCCAGGTGTTTGGGAGGCAGAGAG